GGCCATGCACCTTAAAGTGGCTGAGGTTGAGAAACATTGTTCTAGAACCATCTATCCATTGTGTGAAAATAGTGTTTATGAGGGAAAGATTCAGGGATATCTGGATGATGTTATGAAGATGGTATAATGATAATAGAGAAATGTATGGAGATAGATAATGGAGCAATATGTCAAGACTGTTACCCTTGCTGTGATAATTCCAGAAATAACTAGTTCTAAGAACTGATCAGAATAACTTTTAAAAATGGATGTTGATGTAGATTGTCCACAGACAATACTACTAGTGTGTAGTCGCTGAATTCTCACAACAGATGCAACATAATAAAGATGCAAAGAGATTCCTTTTAGAATATTGCATAAGAGAAGAAAATATTATTTTTTGACTGAATGATTAAAACAAAAAAGATTCCATTTCAATGGGACAGATTGGAAACTGTGATTTTTACTTTTAAAAATTAGGAGTTTCAACTGAATTCTGCCCAGAAGGCAAGGAAATTTCTAGAAAATGTAAAGAATTGAGGGGAAGATTCAAATGGAGTTGTAAGGGGGAAGTGCACAAAAGCTTCAACAGGGACCTGAAAGGGATGATGCTGAACTAGAAAGCACGGGTATCAATTTTTCTATTTTTTTTATTGATTATGGATTACAAATGCTTTAATGTGGAATATAAATGCTCATCAAAAGAGAAAAAATTTTCATTGTTTGAAAAAATTAAAACAAGATATAATTTACTGACAAAACATGTATTAGAAAACAAGAGAAAATTTGATTTATAAAATTTTGGGTGTGGAATTTATTTCACTAAAAAAAGAAATAGAATTGTTTTAAATATAAAGCCAAAATTTGTTTTGACTGATAAGCATAGCAGACTTGTTGAGGGGTAGAAGGGAGTGGAAATCAATCTGCATGGATCTAAGACTTTGGTATTGGAAATGTATGCCCCAAATGAGGGTAAAAACACAAGACAGCAATGCTGATATTTGTAGTGACAGCAACGTCAGAAAGAAGGAGTATAAGCTAGAGAAGTTCCAGGGCCTGAAGGAGGAACTACTAGACAACATGGTCACCACACTATAAAAAAGATATCAAGACTCTAGAAAGAGTGCAGAGAAGAGAAATCAAGATGATTAGGGGACTGGAGAGTAAAACATATGAAGAATGGTTATATGACTAGCCTAGTGAAGAAAAGGACCAAGAGAGACATGATAGTGAAGCAGTGGGAAAATTACACATAAAGCACTTTTGTATTTGGCAGGGGTCCCTCAGTTCCCCAAGGCTTTGCTTAGTACAATGTTGTATAAAACCTCAAGGATACTGAACCAAGGAACTAACCATAGTACAGTAAACGAGGGTGGATATGGAAAATAACAGATGGTGTAAGATAAAATGAGTAATTATATGTACTTCTCTTTTCTTGGTATATATGTCATTCTCCTTTGGTGGTATAGTTTAATAGGAGTAACGCCCTGGGCTAAGCTGAGGTCATGACATGTATAAAAGTGACGCCTCAGGAAGAGCCAGGGGTTTAGAATTTGCCATTCTAATGCTCTGAACCTTGTGCACAAATAAAAACCTGTATTCTCCAACCTTTCGTGGTCTTGTGTCCTGATTTGGAAACAGGATCTGCTGCAACATTTATGGCGACTCCGCCGGGACACAAGGAGCCCTGAGGCCCGCTGGAGGGTCCAACCCGGGTGCCAGTGACTGGGTGAGTTGAAGGGAACATCCCAGGTGCCATCGGTCCTTTGAATCCGAGGGACTTCCCGAGACTACCCTGTTCTGGCGGCGGCGGTTGACACCTCCAAGAACCACAGGTGAAAGGTGAGGAGACTAGGACATCTTCCAGCCGGCCGGTGGAGAAGGAAGATGCCTTCAGGCAAGTATTGGATTTGGGAATAATCCCTCCCTGTAAGCAGGGATGGAGGAGAGGACTGATCACCCTCTCTTAGACAAAGGTGGGAGGAATTGTCAGGAATGGTTGAGGTGAGTGGCTACTGTGGTTCCCATTGGTGACTGTGAGTGTCCAGCGCCGTGGGCCAGTAGAAAGCGAGTGGTGTCCGCCGTTCCCATTGGAGACCGTGCGCATCCGGCTCCCTGGGTCGGATGGGAGTGTGTGCAAATCCCTGGTGTTTTCAGAGGAGGAGGGACCCCATACCCTCCTCTCCAATCCCTTTTCCCAATTGTCTTGTCTGGTGACCCGGGTGGCTCATGGTTGGAGGTGAGAGTAAGCCCCTGACTCCACTGGGGTCCATGTTAAAACATTTCAAGGAAGCATATGAATCTCAGGATTATGGCCTTGAGTGGAGCAGGCATAAACTGCAGGTGTTCTGTGAGGGAGAGTGGCCAACATTTGGGTTGGGGTGGCCTCCCATAGGCACACTGAAAGCCCCGAAGCTTTTTTTTTACCTGTCTTATTGACGCTTACCATATGTATACTCCCATTGATCCCACTGACCCAGCAAACACTCGAATGCTAACCATGGCATTCAACTTGCAGAGTGCCCCAGATATACGTCGTAAGTTGCAACGACTTGAGGGGGCCTTAGGTAAACCCATGAGTGAGCTCATGGAAGTGGAAAGGAAAGCCTTTGTGAATAGGGAAAAGGAGGAGGAGCGAAAGAAAGACCAAAAGATGAAACGAAAGGCTGAATTAATGGCAGCTGCTATGATGTGGACCCCCAAGGAAAGGGGAGTTGGTTCGGCTAGGGGCAACAGGTCAGGGTTAGGACGCAACCAATGCGCCCTTTATAAAAAGGAAGGACATTGGAAGGGTGAATGTCCTGAAAGGAATAAGGAAGAGGGACCAGGTGGAAGAGGAGGGCATTTTCAGAGGGGCCTCCGAAGACCCCTGGGAGGAAGCCGGGGAAGGCAAGGTTATAGGAGGGGCAGTTACACAGGTTAGGGAATATCGACAAGAATGGGGAATTCTTGTAGTTGTTGCAGCTAACTTTCTTGCTGCAGGAGGTAGAGCGAACCCTTAGGGGTGACTCTAACATGTAAGGGCGTGAAAATACCCTTTAGAGTAGTTATTGAGCCAGTGGAGTGAGGAAAACCTACTCCCCTGGATTAAAAGTTTAAGTAAGAACAGAATGATAAATTTGTGCATTGAAAAATGGCAAAATACATAATTGAGGAACCACAATACAGGTGGGATTATCTGGGGGAAACAAGCAAATGTAGGTTGGGTCCTGAGCCCCCAGCAGATAGTAAAATACTTTTGGCTAAAGAAGAAAATATGTGAAACTCCTTAAGGACTGAGAAATAGGTAAGGTTAGTGTTATATTTGGAAACAGGCATAGGAGTTTCTATCTGGAACTGGTACGATTAGGGCCATGTTCTCCATGGGGACACGTTAAACAGTAAAAGTTGTCTTTAAAAAGAAAAGTGGAGTTCAAACTTGCTCATGAGAGCCCTGGCCAGGTGCAAACGAGGTGTGAAAGAAGGTCTCTATAGATCTTGATCTTTAAAAATAAGCCAGCGTCAACTGGGAGATCCAAACTAGAAAGATAAGGGACAGAACACCCAGGGCAGAGACAGGTAGTAAAAATCTCGTCCTTAACAATGAGTGTAACGTCAAGTAAAAGTGAGAAGTTCACTAAAGCAGTGTTCCAATTTTTGAGGGGCTGCCACAGAGAGGAAGGGGTCAAGCTATTTTCCAAGGCACCTGAAGGCCAGACAAGGAATAATGGATGGAAACTGATCAAGGAGTGATTCAGCCTAGAAATAAGGAGAACTTTTCTGACAGTGAGAACAATCAATCAATGGAATAGTTTGCCTTCAGAAGTTGTGGCAGCTTCATCACTTGAGACTTTCAAGAAGAGATTGGACTGCCATTTGTCAGAAATGGTGTAGGGTCTCCTGCTTGGGCAGGGGGGAGGTTGGACTAGGTGACCTACAACGTCCCTTCCAACTGTTCATCTGCAATATGGAAAGTAAAGGCCAAAGTGGTCTCGGCTGTGGTAGGAGACTCAGAACTGTGAGTAGCTCATAAATCCCAAAAATGACATCAGAGCTCTCTGTCCAGAACCCTCCAAAGCCCAGGCTGCCTTGCTAATCAGATGCCTTCTCAAGTTGGCTACCAGTACTTTCAGACCAATTTCTGGTCAATCCCATGGATGGTACACCTTACTGACTAGTAGCCTAAGGTAAGGTGGCCTGGGCACACTTCCTTGCTCTGCCAAGACACACGTCTGGTTGCACTTTGCAACACCTCACCTTCCTTTCGTGATGTAGCAGGACCTGTTTTTCTCTAAAGGATGTTGTGTCCGCTACCGTGGAGATCAAAGAGAAAGGTATAAATTAATTAACTTCTCTGCCAGGAACAAGACGAGGCCTGCGCCTGTGGCCGAAGGGGGCATCTTGGAGATTGCTAGGGCAATCTGGTGCTGATGGAAAGCGCAAGTGAGGAAAAAGCCCCAAAGGCAAACAGTGCTTTTTATTCAAGTATATTTCAGTGCTTTTAACATTAGACAAAGCAGATCAGTCTCCTATGCGCGGCGTCCGAAGATGGAGACGCCAGTAAAGCCAGCTGGCTTAAATGAGCTCTGGGCACACTGTCTTCCTAATATTTACCGCCGCTCGCGCAGCAGCTGCCCGAGGAGCGTGGCGGAGAAGCCATCTGCACTGCAAGCCAGGGTTATTTCTTCTCGGGCTTCTAAAGCCAGACGCTTGCAAAAAGCACCTCAGGCTCTGCAGAGGTTTTCCACAAGGCAACTTCTATCTTCCTTCTTCCAGGCACGAGGAACCCGCTTACTTTTGAGACTGAACGAGGAGAAGGGGCGGGGGGGGGGGGGAGAAAAAGAGCCCCCCACCGGGGGGGGTCCCCCTAAATTTTGTTTGGGGGGGTGGGGAGGGGGGGGGGGGGGGGGGTGAACAGGCAACGCTTTGGTTGGCGTGCTGGCATCCATCAGCCAGCAACATCGAAGGGAGTCATGAGGAGAGAGATAAGGATCGGGCGTGACGTCAAGGAAGAGCTTGGTTCGCGGAGCTGCTCTGAGGCACCGGGGCTCTTTGGCGTGGCATTGGCGCTCCGGCAGTGAGCGAGCGAGTCGAAGCTCAGGGCTGCGTCTGGGAAGGGTGCGTGGAGCCTTTTGCGCGTGGCGAAAGGAAAAGAGCGGGCGAAGGACGCGGGAAGTCGGGAGCGTGGGGTGAGTGAAGGAAACCTGGCGGTGCGCTTCTGGACCTAGAGCTGGAGAGGCGACAACCGGGAGACGCTCGGGCAGAGTGAGGCGGCGGGTCAAAAGAGCGGCTGAGGCGGGAAGAGAAGCGGCGGCAAAGGGCGGAAGGGTGGGTGGATGGATGGGTGGGTGGGGAGGCAACTGGTGGGAATGAGGCGAGGGAGCGATGCTGGGGCGCTCCAGCATCGCTCTCTCTCTCGCCTCGTCTCTCCAGAATGATGGGAGAGACCGGTACAAAGATTGGTTTTCGGAGCCGGACGAAGCATTAAAAAAAAAAAAAAAAGGACTGAAAGGGCGCATCCCACTCACTTTGCTCACTATCCTTCGATTCTCCCCTCTCCCCCAAACTTCATCGGTTTTTGACTGCAGCCAAACGGATGAGGTATCTTAATCGCACTTTACAAACTAGTGGATTAATTTTTGTGGACAAGATTTCATCACCTGCTTAGAGAAATATCTGGAGATGTACCCAGGGATGGCACTCCTGTCTCATCTAGTGCATCTCATATAGGGGACAAAACTCCATCAAGGCTGGTGCCATAAAAATTGTGGCAATTCTAGAATCTCTCTCCCTCCCTCCCTCCCTTCCTCTATTTAACGTTATCTGAACTTTCGAATTAATTAAAACTGTCAGTTCAGAAACAAGGGATTAATCTGGAGACAGAGCACTGTGGATGTATGTGTTTTTAGACACAATTGGGAAGGAATGGCAGAAACAATTGGGGTTCATCCTTGATATCTGTTTTCAGTATTGAAATACAGACCAGGAAGAGACATTTTCTCATCTGATTCTTGATACATCAGTTTTAACAATTGAGTAATAGTGAAAAACTAGGAATGCAAATATAGTGAGCTCTTTAAAATGTAGGATGAAACAGTATGTGTGAAATTCAATTTGTATACTTGTAGTTTTATATTATACTGTGATTAGCGACAATGATCAAAATTCATGCAATGTTACCGGTACCACCTCTTATAACTCAACTTATGAATCTTCACAGGGATATTGAAGAAAAAATCATTGCGATGATGCTGTTTGTCAGTTAGTGCAGAATATGAATATTAGTTGGGGTGAATTTGTTTTAGGGTTTATTTCTGTATGGGGAAATCCATTGTACATAAGTTTGTTTCTTCCTGGGACCTCCCTATTAAAAAAAGGAATATTTGAGCCAGCTTCCCATTTACTCTTTCTTGAAATGAAACCCAAGTTGTAGAATTAAAGTTCGGGTCCTTGGTGGATGCATGCATCTGGAGTATCAAAACAAGCAAGGTTCTGAGATATCAAATGTTAGTAATTCCCCTTTTTACATTTATTGTTAATATTTGTTGTTTGTTATTTAGGCAAAATTGCCACATTATGTTAAACAATGAGAAATTAAAACTAGAGATATTTAGAGATGGATATTGGGTGAAAACAAACTATAATCAAGGGTAATTTTCTGGATACGTGTCTATATTGCACTGGTTGAAAAACTTGGATTATTTTAAATAAAGGCATAAGTGCCTGAAGCTCTTCGCCTAGAGTGAAGCCGAGCAGATTAATTAACAAAAGTATGCACAGTAAACAAAGTCAGTTTAAGATATCAAGAATTTCTGTTGGTTCATGAACAACTTTATATCTTTTTGTATGTTAGTGGACTAGTCTATCTGGTTTTATTTTTAGATTATTTTTGTTCTCTATAAACGGTGATTAATTAGATTTTGCACACTCTATTTTTACATGTGGGTAGCCAGCTCTAACAAAAGACAAAACTTCTGTATAATAACTTGGTGTTGAAATATTGACAGCAATGTTAGTCATCATTTATGGTTTTATTCTTGATAAGAAAAAAATACTTAGCTAGATAACATAAGGAAATAGTCAAGCAGAAGCAGCAATGACAGACACCCATGAAAATGAAGGGAAAGAAATGTAGCCATAGAGGTGGCAGATTATGGAATTATGTTCTTCCTTAAAAAGAATGCCATGAAAGCAAAAAAAAAAAAAAAGCTTTTACATTCTAGTTTGTATTAAAATATTGTTTTTTAATGTTTATTTTATAAGCCATAATTTGAGAGAACTAAACCATGGCTTGGCATGAATTCAGTGTGCTGAATTGGCTCCGAGAGAGTCGGCAGTCTCGGAAATTAATCTTGATGATTGTCTTCATTGCTCTGCTCTTGGACAACATGCTGCTGACTGTAGTTGGTATGTAAAAAGTTCCTGATACTATAAATATTTAACCGCTTTGCTTCTGGGTAGCCTTAAACTCCTGCATGAAGTGTGTATGTCTGTGCATGTGTGTGTCTGTGTATGTGTGTATCTACATTCATTTCCTTCCTTTGTGGTTTTTGTAAAACAAAATGACAGGAAAGATAAAAAGTTGGCATGGCATGTCCGATGAAAGAGACTTTGTCTCTTTCACCCTTACATTTTTTTATGGTTTAGGTTTTCAGTGTTACAACAATTAGCCATTATGGAAACAGCAAGAAATTAAATTAGCTTGCATGATGGCTTGTATGTATGAACATTGATCAGAGAATTAAACACTGTGTTCTTATCAAAGGAAGAAATATTTTATTCTAAAAGGATTACTGTAAAGGATTGGCTTCACATCTACTGGAGGCAAATCTTACATTTGGTATCTTCTTTTATTGCTATAAGCAATAAAACAGTTTGAAGCAAGATTTGTTTTCAGGTAACACAAAGCTTCTGTTTTTATTCAGTGGTGATGAACTGCTTTGTTTATTGCTCATATAGCAATTGGCAAGGCAGTAACTCTTACAAAACAGGTATCAGACTTTTCAGGTATATACCAGACAGGAAACACAACTAGAAGAGTTAATTCTACTTTATTGCAAGGTTACATTAATAAATTCTTGCAAGTCTGAAAGTACAAATCTCTCACCATCTCCTTTTCAGTTTGAGAAACAAGGGATGCTCCCTCCTGAGCCTCTTTCTCTTCTCATTGTGCAGAGGAGCTGTAGACTATGCCTTTTGTTATCTGACCATTCTCTGAGCATGTCTATGGAGATTCTCAGTCATCTAGGTCATGGTTGTCCTAAAGGTGGGTTTTTTTAAAGAGGCAAATGGACTTTCTGGACATTCTCTGCACAGCATTTCTTTGCCCTGACTCTCGAGGTCATTGTCACATACCATTGCACAGGGGGCATTTCTTCAATAAAAAAATTATGAAGATGAAAAACCATTCACAGAATTAACAAACAAACAAAAACTTTTATCACAGAAATGTACTCCACTTTATGCCCCAGATTTGATGATTCAAATATGTATTTAAATCAGAATGAGTACAATTGAATAATTTTGAAATCTGTTTTGTATATAGAAATTTAAATAAATGTCAAGTTATGTTAATACTTTAGCATTTCTATAATGTAAATCATGGTTTTGTGTATATTATAATATTACTTTTTCATGAAAATGCATCTTACATTAAAATGAAATCATCTTTTAAAACTTTTATGTCATTTCTTATCATCTCTTGGTCAAATGAATTGAGTGGATTCATAGTGTATAATTATGTTTGCTCTAACCAGTTTGAATTTCCATATTTAAAACAACATAACCATCATTTAGAACTCTGTACTTGTTTTTTTGTCTTTCCACAAGTTTAATTATTTTATTTCCATTTCTTTACTAGAGTTTCTATACAATTATCAAGACAAAATTAAAAACAACACAGAATTCCAACTACAGACTCCAAAATAATAACAAGTGTTATTCATCAGGGGCTTTTCAGATTTTAATATCCCCCAAATGCTTATAGTCCAACAGACTCTTCAGGTTGACTAATATCCTAAATGTAGTTTGTCAATTATCTCTGAAAACTGTTGAATTATGCATAAGCATGACCAATTCTTGTTTTTCCCCCCATTCTAACTCCATTCCCATAAAAAAGATAGCTATTTCAGCATTGTCATTGTTTGGTTCAATATAAAGTAACATGGTTTAATTTAGCAATCCTGCACCAATATACCAGGAAATATGTCCATTGATTTAAATGAAACTGACTCTGAGGAGACATATGGGGAAAAGTTATTCACATATGAAATTGTTTGTAGCTGTCAAATGGTATACATGTTTATTGAGGAAATATATAAAAATATTTTCATAACATATTTTAAACCACTTGTTGAAATTTGACTTTATTATGGCAATTTAAATTTGCTCTGATATCAAGTAAGTAAATCTTCACTAGATGTTGTTTTTGCAGTGTAATTTGTAAAATTAAATTTGAGATCATAAATTGGAATAAGTAGTTTTGCAACTTAGCATCATCACATCTTCCCTATTTTTCTTATCAAGTCTTCCCACCTATTCCATTTTCACTTGCTCTTCCTGGTGGAATATGCCTTTTTCTGCATAGTTTTCCCACCTAGCAAGCGTGGTTATTTGAACAGCTATATAAATAATAGCCATTTATGGCTCTCCTGTCCACTAGGTTTCCTTTAACAGCAACAATTCCTGAGAAAATTGGTTATGCTCTGACATATTAACATTTTTATGTGTTTGATGTTACATTCATGTCAAAATTATATTTTTGTTTTAAGGTATGGAAATATCCCTTTGTAAATTATTTCCATATCACTAGTTTTTCAATTATGTACTTGCTGAAGGCCATTCATTTATCTCAACTCGAAGGTTTCCTGAATAAATAGGATTATTTACACAGTAATTAGATTCAGACATTTGCAAAACACGATTCATCTATTCTAAACAATTGATAATTTTGTCATTAATATCCCCTGCCAAGTAGTTTTTCCTATCTCTTATTTTAAAAGTCCTCATTTTCTTTCTCACACATTTATATATTTAGGATGCTGCTAGGAATTTCAACCATTTACAGATTGCCATATTTACTCATGTTCTTTCTGTTTCCTTAATTTCCTAAAATAATTACTATCTCATTTGAAGTACATTGACTTGAAATTTACACAGGACTTATCTAGGATTTTACACAGGACCATTAGCCTGTGTGTAATTTATTAAACTGTATCATATTTCTTTATCTGGAAAACACCTATTATGTACATTTGTAAAGAATGTATTAAGGAGATTATCTACCTTAATATTGTCTTTGTTAATTGCAACTACTGTTCAGAATATTAGATCTGAGTCTTTTCCAGAGCTACTTGGAACCTTAGATGTTCGTGACAAAAATAGGAAGTTAATTACTGAGTTATTTATAAAACCAGAAGTGCACATTAATTGAAGTTAATGTGGAATATTAGTTAATCTAAAATCTCTTCAGGTTAATGAAGATTAACAGTCTAAATCCAATCCTAAATAACTATTCTTGATTCCTGTTCTTCAGAGATCAAGTAGACTATTTTATAGGCTGAATACAAAAATAATTTTACTTTCAAAATTCTTGAAGAAATATCAAATGCAACCAGTTGTAGATAATTATTACCTTGTGTTCCAATTAAGAAAGTCAAGACTAAAAGTATTATTTTTGTTTATTTACTTGTTTATATTTTATTTAGCAGTTTTGCAAAAAAAAAAAAAAAAGAATCTTCTTTTACTGAAATAACTAAAAATATAAAAGATACAATAGTAATTCCTTGAATACCATTATGAAGAGGAGAACTCATCCTTTTTCTATGGTGTTTCCTGGACAACTAATTGGTATCAATATTGCATGTATTTACATACCAGGTTACTTTTATTTTTATATGACTAGTATTTTGTTTCCAGGTGAACTTTATAGAGGGTGATTTGTCATTGCAGCCTTTTTACTTCTACATTTAATGTTTATTGTGTTTGATCTAATTAGGATGCTTTTTTGAAGTTTATACCATGCACTGCAAACAACTGCTATTGGTAAAGGGCATATAAATGAATAAGGGCATAACAAGCATACGATTTTAATCTTTAGCTTTTAAAGGATTGGAAGTATTTTATTTGAATCATATTAATGCTGGGGAACACAAAAATCATCTTACACATAGTTTTAATATCAATTTTCTAGATGTTTTTGCATTTTAAAATTCAACTCCCTATTTCAACCATATGAGGAATAGTTTTGCAGAATTCTGAGAAAATTGGGGAAGACTTAAATATATTTTCCCGTAATTCTATTAATCTTTTTTAATTGAAATTTGATGTTGGACTGAATATTGATAAGTCTTATCAGATATTTTTTCATTCCATGGAGAAAAGAATGAGTGACTGCTTGAATTCCAATCATTTTATGGACGAACTTGTGGGTTTGTCTTTCTTATACAGTAAGATTAAATATGAAGAACAATGAAAAGCCTGGATACATGTATCAGAGTACAAAATTTGATCAGATTTAAACTGCTTTTCCTAGCTCTTCTGTTGAAATAAAATTAGTTTGATAAAACCAAACATAATCATTTCTTCATGATGAAAAGTTCTGAAAACTAGCTATTTTTTCATTCATATACTTTACGAAAGAAATAGTGCAGGCTTGTGCTTATTTTTGTTGTGTTTAATTATGACATGTGTATATGCCTTTATGTGACAATTTTTCTCTTTGCTTTTTCAGTGCCAATAATACCAAGTTATTTGTATAGCCTTAGACACCCCAAAAATGTAACGGATGTCCAAACCATTAGACCAGAGACTCCTTCTGTCAACTCGAACAGATTGCAAAGCATCTTTTCTTATTATGACAATTCAACTATAGTTACTGGAAATAATTCTGAAAGAACAAGGCCAGAAGATTATTATTATGCTCAGACAGAGCAAATGGTGGTAAATATGACTAAGACCACTCCATCCTCCTCAGACTGTCCAAAGAAAGACAAAGAATTGGTGAATGAAAATGTAGAAGTTGGTTTGCTTTTTGCTTCCAAAGCAACTGTCCAGTTCCTTACTAACCCTTTTATAGGACCAATGACAAACAGGTATGTTTTCTTCCCCCCCCCCCTTATGTAATAAAACATACTTCATTTGTTCTATTGTATTCTATTGTTCTATTCTATGTGTATTTATTTTTTAGAGAAATATTTGCTTTATTGTGTGTCTTATTTCTTATGTAGTTTATTGATTGCTTTCACTGATACATATTATTAAAATGAATTGCTAATAAATCTCCACTATATCATCTCTAAATAAATCAGCCTTCTATTTACCATCTATTTTATTTTAAATAATTTTCAACTTGTTCCTTTCTGCTTTTTGACTGGCACCCATAGATAGATGTCTTTGTAGAAGAAGTGAACTTTTTTTTAGCTAGTGCAGATATCAGATAATGAGAACTAGAAATGAAATACGGTATGGTAGCTTATGTAGTACACTTGTTGCAATCTCTTCATTAATAATATGGGAGTGGTGAGTGGGAATTATGCACTTCCTTCCAGCCAAGCGTTCAAATACATTTTTTAATTATAAACATATTTAATTATATGTTACTTTTCAAAGAACATCCTCCTAAGGTAGCTTGTTGTGCACTTGGTTTTGCAGTGGTTAGAATGCAGTACTGCAGGCCAATTCTTCCCATAGCCAGGAGTTCGATCCTGCCAGGGTTGAAAATTGACTCAACCTTCCATCCTTCTGAAGTCAGTAAAATGAGGACCCAGATTGTTGGGGGATGACTTGATAAATCAGTCAGAGAATGCTGTAAAGCATATGGAGCATTATATAAGTCTAAGTACTATTGCTATTGTTACTATAAATGCCTTCAAGTAAGAGTTGATGAAACCAGAGACAGAAATGACTGTAGGATGGATTTGTTGTTCAGTTTGTTGATCAAATATGGTTGACATTCCTCCTGAAAAGATAAAAATTCAGGCAGGCTCATATTGTTCTGTGATAGGCTGTGATTAGAAGCATTAGAGTGGCACCACGGTTTTAATATATCATCACAATTTCATACTTTTCCAGCAATACCACATACAATACCATATTGTACCACATACAATAAAGCTATAGGAAAAAAGTTAGTATAATCATATTGATAGACGCTATTAAAGCATGACTAAAAAACCGCTATAAAACAGCATATTATTAGCATGACACAGTGATTATGGGCACATAAACCTTCTGATTCAAGAGATGTTATCTTCTGGATAGGTTTATATTTCATTGTGGAGAACTGATTCGTAATTTCAAAATTATTTTGGACTCATGGCTCCTGTCTAAAGAGAAGATGACAGTTATTTTGTAGAGTTATATCCATTGTGGAAATTATGAATATTTCTGAACTGAAAAATCCTACAATCATTCTTGATTTAGTCATCTCCCATGGAATTATTGTAATTTATTCTACAGAATACAAGTAGCAATATAACTGCTACATTCCTTCCATATAACACCTCTAGCTTGAGAGTGAACTGGATGCCAGTTTGCTTTCAGGTGCAATTTTGGAATTGGCACATATTATCTTTAAAGACTTTGTGGTTCAGAAGTTTAATATCTACAGCACTGCCTCCTCCAAATGGTTTTACCTGTCCATTCAGATCAGTGGTGTCATACTTGTGGCCCGCAGGCCAGATGCATCACACTCTGCACCCACCTCTGGTTTAGTGGCGACCCCCACTTAGTGAAGAGGAAAAAAGTTGCAATGCGTCACAACCTGTTGTTGCGAGTTCGACACTCCTGATTCAGATGAAATGAGGTATACTTTTCTTGAGTCATTCAGTCTACATAGGCCAAGAGCTTTCTCAGTTATTCCTTCTTCTTTGAAGCATTTGTATTTCTAGAGATCAGACTAATCCCAACTTACTGGGTTTTGATAAAGCTGTAAAACTGTTTTATAAAGCCCCAGGAAGAGATCTGGTATGAGGTAGAGCTCACATTCTGGTTTGTGTCTGAATGTTACCTTGGTAACCATAGTTCTCTTTCTAATTTTCTTGGCTACTCTTAGTTATCAGATTGTGACTGTGTGTGTGTGTGTGTTATTTTAGACTTATTGAAAGAATAGAGGAGAAGCCATTCAGAATCTCTCTGGATTGGAGAAGCATAGCACAGCAAACAAATAAACACAAATTTGTGTTCACCCATAAGACACTATTTTATGTAATGTAAAACAGTTTTTAAAAAACCATTATGGTTATTAATATTAATTATGTTTATATAGTATATGTTATATGTGATGTCCCACATACTTCTATAAGAAATAAAACCAAAGGACATAAAACAGTAAAACATCAAAAGCAATAGCAATTCCATTAGCTAAATTCTAAACTGAAAAGTTTAAAATATTAGGAAATAAAAAATTCTGTGATAGAATGAACCCTGAATCTATTCCTTTCCGATATTTAATGTAAAGTAAATAAAATAGTTGTTTTAGATTAAATAGCAGGAGAGCAGGGTAATATTTACATTGCACTTTGAATATTAAAATCTGCTAAGTATTACTGTTGTGTTAGAGGGCAGAAACCTAGGATTAATTTGTATTTAGAGTAACATAGGAAGCATGGCTTACATGCTGAATGGGCTTATGATATATGGATCGAACAACCTGATATAAACATATAGATCCTGGAATGGTTAGATCTAATTTATGTAGGTATTTTAGATGCAACTGCAATATTCATTTGAATTTCTAGTAAAAATATGAGATGCCCTTGAGTTCAGCTCAACTCCTTTTTAAAAAAAGGGTTTTTATTCGAAGAACGGTTTAAGAAACTACAGAAACATAAAAGAAAAAGTAGTAAGAGTATATACAAAAGATCAAAAAAAAGAAAGAAAGAAAGATGACAAAAGAAAAAGAAATGTAAAGAAGCACTTCTGGTTTTCTTTTTGGCAATTATAAGCATAATAATTGACATCTCTCTCTCCCTTCCAAATTATACAGTATATCATTGTTTGCTTCTTTCCTTTACAAACCTTTTTAATCAATGAATATTGAAATCATTAGTTCATGTTTATTCATTTTCAGCAAAAAAAATCATGAAGGGTTTCTAGGCTTTTATAAAAGTATAGTTCCCTCCTTAGTTTAGCTACAACTCAGAATGATTTTAGCTATGTAGTTTCCTTCATACTATTACCAAGATGGTTTACCTTTCCCCCTTTTTAATAGTTCCCAGCAAAGCCAACAATGCTGTGATCGGAACAGATTAGAAAAGAGTAGGGCAACTGTAGCGGAGTTTCCCTATTTTAAGTTTCCCTATTTTATTTTCATTGGGTGCAAAATCATAGTAAGTTGTATTTATATCATCTGGTGCTGATCTGATGTTTTGATGAAGAATTAATAGAAAATGGCCTCGAGCCTTACTTGTTTTAGCATCTCATGCAGAAACATCTCCTGGAACATCAGAGAATTTGTGTGTACATCTCTGTAGTCCTTCTATTTCTGTATTTCTCTAATGGTACTAATACATTATCGATATGTGATTCTGTACACTAAGTTCATAAAATTAATTGTGAGTTTTGAAATAAATGATTTATAATCTGTAGAGATCTATAAAGAGATTGCTGATATCATTTGGGCCTATGCAGAAGTCATGGGTTTGCATCACAATGCTCTCATAAATGTCAACCATCTTGTTGGCTTTGGGGAAAACCCCACCATTGGCTACAGTATTATCAGCTTTGTTTCAATATTAAAAGTTTTGTGCTGTATGTTGTGTTTTCTCACTGAACCAATTTCTTGAATGTAATTATTGATTTGTAATGTTTTACAGACAGAGTTAATTTAAGGTAAGAACCAGAATATATTTCATCCTTGCCTAAATAAACAAAGCTTGTAGTCTGGCAAAAATCTGATTTTTTTGTGTGGTTCCACTCATTTTACATGAGCAACATCTCCTCACAGATGCTTGCCACCTCAAAATTCTTCTCTGAACTTCAAAAAAGTTGCCTAACTCTGTTATTAAATATTATTTTCAGTTTCCTAAAGAAATGAAACATTGGTTGTAGATACAGAAAAACCTGTATAAAGTCAAAACTTGGTATTGATTTTGTCTTCCAGGATAGGCTATCAGGTCCCCATGTTTGCTGGTTTCTGCATCATGTTTATTTCAACAATAAGTAAGTGTTTTTTTTCTCCTATGTCCCCAAGTATTACAGAAGAGAAAGAGAGATGGGAACAAAACATGGTTTTACATTGTCAGATCTGGATATCTTTTGGTTCTAAGACTATATGAAGCTTTCACTAGAGAATTGTTGGGTAAAACATCAATGAAGGCAAGACTTTGTTCCACAGATTGTTACAGTGCCATAATAATGTAGTATTCACATAACCATTCCCTTTGCCACTGTTGCTTAGGGTATGCTTTGAGTTGAAATGTTTTCTTATACAATCCACATTGTTGAACAAGAAGGGACAGAATGGATAGAAAAATAAGGCACTTTAATCTTGCCTTTTCTTGCTTGCCAGTTGGAAAGAGGAATGCCCTTGAATGTCTCTTGTTCATTAGAGTGGCTCCTTCAATTGAATTATTTTATGTATTATATAGCAACACGTATTCCACACAGAGGCTTGGAAATTGCTTATCCATTTTCAGGGGGGGGGGGGGGGACTCCAAAACCAGTTAAATTGTATCTTGGCTATGGGAAGGTATTGTGAAATATTGGAAAAGGGCTTCCTACATTTTTTTTAATGTTGTGTCACCAAGAGGCTAAACATTTCAGCAATGATAACTCTAAATGAAATAAGAGAAAATAATACAGATTGAAATTCACATGATAGTCACAGAGAATTCAGATTAAATGAATGTTAATAATAGGGTAATATAAAAAGCTTAAATTTAGATAGAGTGGAATCCTTTGTTTTTTAATGTTTTCTCCTACTTTCCCCCCCAGTGTTTGCCTTTTCAGAAAGCTATAAATTGCTTCTAATTGCAAGAGCTCTCCAAGGTGTTGGTTCATCTTGTTCGTCTGTAGCTGGTAGGTTTCTAACATGTACATCATCATCATGGAGGCTACAGCTGTTTATTCTTTTCTTTACTAAGGGTTTGGTCAAATTGCAAACCATTTTATTGTTATTATCTTTATATAATTAGATGAGGTGTCTAATTATAAACAATTTTGAATTTCTTAAGAATGTTTATGATATTTTCTTCTGCTTTTAAAGTCTTTAAAATCATTTTTCAGATTAGGTAGATTTAATATGTACTGTGTCATTTAGAAGGTGTAGTTTGTTGTCGTCATTCTAGATTCCTAGAATTCTTCATATTTTTTAGAATTCCAGGTTATATTCATTCTCCTTTCCTGCATACCACTTTCTGGTAAAAGGTTGCAAAGAAAAGAGTAAGTTAAAGAAAAAAAAGGCATCTCTTTCCTTTGTATTAAAGGCCCCATTGCCTTAAAGAGTCACAGTTGGAGAGAATTCTTACCCCTCCCTCCCTGATCTTAAGAGATTTTCCAAAGGACACTTTATTGGATGTGTGAAGATAAATGTTTCACAGGTGATTGTTCATATCTTTGTGTAATTTCCTGTCTGCCAAAGACAAGTCTAGTGTTTTTTACTTTGCTTTTCTTTTTATGCAGGGATGGGTATGCTAGCCAGTGTCTATACTGATGATGAAGAAAGAGGCAATGCAATGGGAACTGCCTTGGGAGGCTTGGCCTTGGGGGTATTAGGTCAGTATGACAATGTTCCTTGGATCAGAATACAGGTAGTCCTCGAGTTACGACCACAATTGAGCCCAGTATTGATGTTGCTAAATGAAACATTCGACAAGTGAGTTTGCCCCAGGTTTACGATTCTTCTTGCCACAGTTGTTAAGTGAATCATTGTATTTATTAAATTACTAACATGATTGTTAAGTGAATCTGGATTTTCCCATTGAGTTTGCTTGTCAGAAGGTCACAAACGGTGATCACATGACCCCAGGACATAAATATGAACCATTTGCCAAGCATCTGAATTTTGATCATGTGACCAGGGGGTGCTACAATGGTTGTAACTGTGAAAAGCTGTCATAACTCACTTTTTTCGTGCTGTTGTCCAAGGGTAGGATTCAAATTTTTTAATGTGGTTAGGTAGTCATGGCTAGTTGGGCATGGCCATGTGACTGGGTGGGCGTGGCTTCTTTTTTTGCAGCACACACTCCACTCCCCATTTTTTGCCTTCTGGGCCTCAGAGAAGCATCCTGGGGGGCATTTTTGCTCCCAGAAGACTTCCCTGGGGCCCAGGAAGGCAAAAAATGGAGTGAGGGGAGGCATATAGCCCCCCTGACACCACCCCCGTGCACCCCTTTTTGCCTCCTGGGCCTCAGGGAAGCCTCCCGGATGAAGCAGTAAGACAGTGAGGGGGATCCCGGCACAGCTGATCATCAGAACAGCTGATCATCAGGAGAGGAAAAAGAAGAAATACCTTAAGGAGTGACTGGGCAGGAGAACACAGTCAGCGATGTTGTGCATGCAAGTGAAGTTGTGCATGCGTGATAAGGACTGACTGGGCAGAGAGGGGAGAGGCGGGTGGAGAGGGCGGGGCCAGCCAGGGGCACAATTTGCCGGTTCTCCGAACTGCACAGAATCATAACAACTGGTTCTATAGAACCAGTCCAAACCGGTAGAATGCCATCCCTGCTGTTGTCACTTTGAACTATCACTAAATGAAATATTGTAAGTTGAGGACTACCTGTATACAATTTTAGAAATTTCATATGCTGCTTTTTCAATCAACAGTGCTACTTTATAGCCAGTTCTTCTTATTCCCAACTAAATGCATATGTAATTAGTCCTTCAGGCTATGAATTTTTTTTCCCACTAACACATAAATACTAATGTCTGAGTAAAACTACACAGGAATAGACTATTAAATAAATTATTTGACTCAGAATTATTTTGTTGGCTTGTCAAATAATTTAGTTGTATATACTATGTACACACAGAGAGAGAAGATAGAAGGTCACAACTTGCAACAAGGATGGCATGTGTTTTTATGGCCTGACAAGCCAGGTTTACACCGACATTTTCAACAACATAGAATTAGGCAAGCGCTATTTAAGATTTGGGATGAAACCAAAAATCAGATATATAGAGAAATGCCAAATTGGGTATTAATATTGGAGGTGATAACACATCCAAATTTGTTAAAACAAGGGAAAGCTATTACCTATAAAGATGCCATAAATGAAGATGGAGATTTAAAAACTAGACAGGACTTAAAGCAACAAGGGATGAATTTAGATTGGTGGGAATATTTACAGATACAATCGAGGTATAAAAAGTATAAAAAAGAATGGGGGATCAACATGCAAGAAACAGTATTAGACAAAATCTTATTGGGACCAGAGGACAAATTAATAAGGAAAATTTACAAATTTTTATTAGCCTATAAATTAGAGGAAGAACAGGTAAAAGAGACAATGGTGATGTGGGCCGGAGACTTTGGGTATAATATCAAATTGGATCAATGGCAAATATTATGGGAAAGGAATAAAAAGATTACTCTGGCCATTACACATAAGGAGAGTTTACTTAAAATGTTTTATCGATGGCATCTCCCACCAGCCAGTTTGGCTAAGATGTATAAAAGCCAATCCCAAAAATGTTGGAAATGTTCAATGGAATGGGGTACATACTGTCACGCTTGGTGGAGTTGCAAAAAAGTGTAAGAGTTTTGGCATAGGATGGGGAAGTGGTTGGAGGAAATGTTGGGATCCAAATTAGACCATAGACCAGAATATTTTTTTTATTGGAAATCACACTGGAAGTTTTGACAAGTCACTTAGAACATTTTCAGAAGTAATTTGCCATTGCCTTTTTCTCAGGCAGAGAAGAAGCGACTGGCCCAAAGTTGCCTAACTAACTTTGTGCCTAAGGTGGGACTAGAACTCACAGTCTCTAGACTGGGGCCTCAATTATTACACAAAACTGACTCTGAATTGCCAATACACTGAATATGTAATTGTGCCTCCCTTCCGTTTTGTAGTTTTAGATAGTTTTGTAGTTTTAGATAGTTTTAGATATATAAGTAGCAAAGCAATAGTTGCCTAGATATTCTTGAATTTTTATCATATTCTGCTATATTTGATATATAATTGAAAAATGTATGGAGTATGGGCAACCATACACTCAGTAAGACAAGCATTTCTGTGAACAGCTACTACAATGTTTCAGTAAAATTATCTTTTTTTATTCCTTTCAATATTGAAAAGAAATTATGGATTAAGAACTGTCAGATGGAAGGATAATTATCTAAAAATAGAATGGAATGGACCAAATTGGGTATTGGGGAGAAGCAGGTAGAAGAATAATCAAGTTTGAAAATGGACCAAGTTGGACTGATGGCTGTAGGAGAAAAAAAATCAAGAATATTCTCCTTTGAATCGCTTTATGAGAGCTAGTTGGGCAGTGGCTCTGAATGCAGCTGGCTGTTCCATTCAAGCCCCTTCCTCTATTCTGTCATCATATAAGCCAGAGCACAACTATTTTGAGCAGTTGGGAAGAATTCCTGATGCCATGGCCTTGCATGTTTTCTCTGCTTTGTTTTAGGTTAAAACTTTCCCCATTAAAAATGAGGTTTTAATCTAAATGGCAGACACAATATTTACCTACTTATAGAATTGCCTTTCATCATTGTTGATATTTGCCCATATATCTTACTAGAATCTAAATATTTACTAAGAAAAGTGACTTAAGTGTGTTTTTTTCGTAGTGGGTCCACCTTTTGGAAGTATCTTATATGAATTTGTTGGGAAGGCAGCCCCATTCCTGGTGTTAGCAGCATTGACTCTTTTTGATGGAGGTAAGTCAAAAAACAGGTAATCCTCAATTTAGGACTACAGCTGAGCTCAAAATTTCTGTTGCTAACTGAGATACTTGTTAAGTGAGTTTTACACCATTTTACGACTTTTCTTGCCACAGCTGTTAAGTGGCTCATCGTAATTGTTAAGTTAGTGACATGGTTGTTAAGTGAATCGGGTCTTGACTTTGCTTATCAGACAGTTGCAAAAGGTGATCACATGACCCCATCATAAATATGAACCAATTGCCAAGCGTCTGAATTTTGATCACGTGACTATGGGGATGCTGCAATGGTCATAAATGTGAAAAGCAGTCATAAATCACTTTTTTCAGTGCTATTGTAACTTTGGTCACTGTTGTAACTGTTGTAACTTGAGGACTACCTGTAATACTTATGGTTTCATATATAGTGTTATAATTTAATTACAACTTATGGAGTAAAATAACTCTTTTTTGTTTTGTTTGCAGCAATACAATTGCTAATATTACAGCCATCTAAGATACAGCCAGAAGTAAGTACTTAGGATGATTTCTTAAAAGAATGCTAATTTCATCCTTTTTATAAAACTATTTATTTTTAATTGTTATTTTAACAGAGTCAAAAAGGAGCATCATTACTGACCCTCTTGAGAGACCCATACATTCTTATTGCTGCAGGTATTTTTGGATTGCATTTTTAAAATATATGGTGGTTTTCTGAATTTGACAAGTCACTTGAAAAATGAAATAAAAAAATATTTCAGCATTCAAAACCAGATACTTTCTATTATCTTCAGTGCTATTCCTTCTTTCCTTCCTCCTTCTCCTCCTCCCTCTTCCTCCTCCTCCATGAATAAGTTCTGGGTTGCAGCTAATCATTATTTTTTACTTTTGAAGAGTTAGTGCTATTACCAGCTTTTTCCCTTTTTTTGCTTAAAAAAGTAAAATTATCTCAGGTGGAATTGGGTTCAGGACATTTGGTGAGTGGCAAGAAAATTATTCATGTGATTTCTAATTAGAAATCACAAAGGAAATTCCACATCCCAGGTAGCAAAATTTATGCAACAAAGCTTTATAGAACCGTTCGTGATTTTCTGTGTATGGTTGTCAGATTCAGTATAGCATTATTTTTTCTCTGGTATTTCTTAAGAGTTCCTTAATGAGAAGTTTAGTGATACTGTCAGAGGTGGGCTTCAATTTTTTTAACAAAGCTGGGTGGGTGTGGCCTAGTCAGCCTCCTGCACAACGGCGGGGTGGTGGTGTTTGCCCTCCACGGGCTCCGGAGGCTTTCCTCGAGCTTCCAGGAGGGCGAAAATGGCCTCCCTTGGCTCAGGAGGCTCTCTGAAAGCCAGAAATGGGCCCATTTCATTCCTTCCCAAACTTCCAGGAGGCCCATTTTTTGTCCTTCCTGAGCCTCCGTGCGCACTTACCTGCATCCAAAATGGGCCGCATGGAGACTCCTGGGAGGGGTGGGGCGGGGTGGACGTGGCCATCCAGGAGTGGGATTTGGGGGTTCTCCGAACTGCACAGAATCTTAGCTAGGGGTTCTCCCGAACCCCTGCGAACTCCCAGTAGCCCACATCTGGACACCGATTTCCTTAATTACCTGGCTTCTGATTTTTCTCTTCCAAAAGCAAGCCCTGGTTATATTCTTCTGGCATTTTTAATTTTTAAGCCCTCCTTTGCCCCCAGATCTATACTATCTTCGGGTCTCTTCAGCTCGATATCCCCAGAACCCATTATTTCTTTACAATTATCCTTTTTGGTCTATGCTTTTTGTTTTCACGTTGTTGTTGCTATTGTGCAGTTTTCTTCAAGGTAATCTGAAGAAGTAATTAGTCACTTGTCCCAATTGTCTGCCCTTAGTTTTTTCTGGAGATTTTTTGCAGCTGTACAGTACACTTGTACGTTGTAAGTGGAATGAATGAAAACAACAACATTCTCTTGTTGCACAGAATTTGCATCTAAATTGCTAGGCCACTTGAGCAATAGGACATCCAAAACCATTGTACCTCTTACTAAATAATTAGAAAAGGTCTCACAACTACAGCCATGATACAATACACAATTGTGTCTTTTCAAAGTATACTAAACTAAAATTGTATATCACTGTGTTTGTCAAATACTACTGAAAAGTTGTTGAATCAATGCTTCTCAGTGTTGATTTACATGCAGCTGGCCTCTTGACAACTGCTCTTTGGTGTTAGAAAAGCTAGGCTAGAAAATTACAAAAGTGGGGAACTTAAAAAAATGGGAGAGATGATTAGTCATGCTTAAATATAATTGAAAGTAAAAGAACATGCTTCTTTTGGAAGGAATATTCATTAATTTTAATTGTAACCTAAACTGTTCTTATTTTCCCTTTGTATTAAACTTAAAAATATACCCTCTTTTAGCATATTTGTTATGTGGAATTCCATTATATAAGTACCACTGAGATGGGTTAAACCTCTGGTTGAGTAGATGAACTGATGACTACTACCCCTAGTAATAATTCATAACTCTTCCAAGAGCCTTCCAGTGATGTCCTTTCCTTCAAACTTCTCACACAAATATTAGCTAAAGTATGTGAGTTTCTGTTTCCTGATCATTAACTCAAAGAAGCAGTCCTACCTTATTTGTCCAGGACCAACTAATTGATTCTTTCCTGAACTTTTGGGTGGTAATCCCTGGGAGGGGAATTATATTGCACAGTAAAAATTACTCTTAAGACTTATTTTAAATAATAATTAGGTGTCAAAAATGTAACTATTTAAGACCAAGCTGTAAATAATTGAAGCATGAGGGCAATGTCACAATCCTCTCTTCCTGGGGATTGGTTCTCTTTTTAGTAGCTTTCTAATTTGATTATGAGTGAAGCATTTTGCTTCAAAGTTGATTGCTAAATCAAGGAAACCGCCACCTGTAGACTGTTTGGGGTTTGTTTAGCAAACTACATTCCTCTTAAACCATAGTTATTCTAGGAAAACTAGATTCTGTTTCTCCTGTTCTGTGGAAACTAATGGGTGAGACTAGAATGAAACCTTTTCCCAAGTGGAAAAGGTTTCATTCTAGTTGTACATTATTGTACGTTAATCATCAAGTTTGATTTTCAATTTTTATCTAATTTAGACTGGGCAATAGTGTTATTTTCTCTTGAACAGCTTTATCTTTATAGAAAGAAACAGAATAGTGTGAGAGAACTGGATAGCTCAGATAGATAAATATTCAGAGATAACAAAATATTATGAAATGAAAATTCTTCAGGGATGTACTCAGGGATTAATCCTCGCTATATTGGCTATTTATCAAGTTGCTTATAATCAATCTACATTAGTGAATCTAATGCAATCTGATTGAAAATGCATATCATCAGGCTTCTGTATTGTGTTCGTCTGCCTGATGATGGCAGATGAGATTCTGCCGAAACATTGCTACAACTTTAAAAGCACAACTACATTGACGTGGGAAAATACCCGAACAAAGCTGAATACCACACATACATACATACATACATACATACAGAACAGAACCTTGTCAGACATTGAATTAAATTAATTGGAGAGACTATGGTATCCCAGATGATGCTTCATTTCCCCTCCACAAAAATGTGCTTAGTATGTCCATGTATAATATTTAATGTATAGCATTTTAAATTACATTTGCAGAGCTTTGGAGGTTTGCAGCTGTGTTTACGTCAAATACTTTTCTTTAGAATTGATTCTCAATTAATGCTCCTATGATGGAGTCAATGATACAATAGCTTCCTACATATTTATATTAAAATTTATGTTGACTTTTATAAGTTATAAAAGCAAATAAAAGTACTAAAAAAGGAGAAAATTGAGGACTCTTAAATGTGGCAATGGTCATTCGCCACCCTTGCCTTATGATATAACACAGTGCCAGAGAACTTGTCATCCACATTATTTTACATTGACATTGTTTTAAACAAATTTATGAAAACAAAAATGGCTATTGAAGTCTTACATTATAAAATCTTGTGAGTTTCGTAGTCTCATTGGGCAGTGCTATTTTTCTGCAAGAAGATATCAGAACTTGAAAAGGCATTTTTTTTTTCCAAATTCTAATATCTTTGGTACAACATCATCATCTTTGCAAGAAAAGAATTGGATTCTTGTTCTTTGCCCTTAGGCAAATAGGTGAGAGCACATCAAGTTTAATACAGCCTAATACAATTTGGCATATTTGAACAAAGAATGACAGCAGTGGTCATTTTATTGCTGAACTGTGTGATAAGAGCCTTTTCTTGGGCAAAATAATTTCTTTTCTTTTTTTATTACTTTTTATTGTACAATTTTCTTAGTTTGTATAAAATTTCTATATTCACAATAACAGTAAACCAACTGGATACATTCTCTACATTTTCTATTGAATACTGATAATAAATCTTATACACGCTGTTAGGTATAACATTGATACCAAATATGGTTTGGGTGAATAAATATATATAACTTAGATATCATGGTTTAAGTGCTTATCACTTTAAGCAAAATGCAGCAGGCAATTAGCCGATTAAGGGTGCGGTTAGAAGTTACAATATAAGGAAGCATTAGAAGCTGTGAGTTTACTGTCTGTCTGTTACTTACTGGCTGTAACTGTGTGCTACTGTAACTGTGTGCTGCTGCGACTAACTGAGATTAACTGTTATTGTTTGCTACTGTTTGCTGAATATCCAGCGTTTGTTTCTCTGGAGAGTGAAACCGGAGGAGGAGGAGATATCTTTATCGGCTGATAAAGATATTGCAAGGACTCTTAACTTGGACTATACTAGTGAGTCTTACTGGATGGAAATACTGTGAATGACTTAATGGACTGAATGACAATGCTTAAACTCTAACTGGATTAAAAACTATTTAAACTACAAACAGTGTTTGTGTTCAGTGTGTGTATACTCTGGGGCCCTTCCGCTCTCCTTTGGTTGCCTGGCTTGACTACTGCTGCAATACTCTGCTAGGGGTTAATTTCCAAAACCCTAACATTGGTTATGGGCCCAGCAGCATAGTCTAACTAACCAGGATATAGCAGAGAGAGTTGGTGTGAGTTGCACATTACTGTAAAAACAAACTGTTTTAATTAGTTTAAAATAGTTAAAATATCTGAAGAGCAATGGCACAAGTAAATTTGTCACAACTGTCCATGATATCCAGGCTGGATGGAACAAACTATGTTTCATGGTCAATGAAATGTAGTTTACTTCTACGCAGAGAAGGTTTGTGGGACATTATAGCAAACCCACCAGATGTGAGTAGCTGGGATCCTGCTAATGATGATGATAAAGAAAAGTTACAGGACTTTAAACTGAAGAATGAGCAGGCTTTATGCATCATAGGACTGACTCTCTGTGATCAGCAGCTTGTCCATATTCGTGGAGAAGAAAATGCTGCAAACTGCTGGGAGAACCTCAGGAAGATTTATGTTCGGGACAGTGTAGGAGCACATATAAATCTTACACGGAAGCTTTTTCGAACGCATCTTCAGAGGAATGGAGATATGTTAGTTCATTTAAACTGTATGAAGAGCATTTTTCAAGATTTGCAAGAAAAAGAGCTTATATTTAATGAACTGCAACAAGTCTACATAATATTATCTTCATTAGATCAAAGCTATGATGATTATGTGACTTCGTTAGAGGTATTGCCAAAAGAAAGCCTCTCATTAACCGAGATTACAGGCAG